CGACTGATCTGCCTCACCCGGGAAGAGTGCAATGATGGTGCCAACTTGGGCCAGTGAAGCAACGTCCTCCACAACTAGACTGAAGAACAAAAGGATAGCACCTTGTCTGTTCCCCTTCCCCCAATTCCAATTTATTAATAAATAAATAAAATAGCATTATACTGGGGGAGGACTGAACAGACATAGCAATGAAACAGAATCCAGAAATAGAACCAAATGCATATGGGAGTGAGTCTACAATAAATAAAGATGGAATTTTTAGCTAATGGAGTAAACATGGGTTATTTAATAAAAGGTATTTGAAAATAGACTAATAGTTGGAAAACTTAGCTGATTACTACTTAATTACAACAAAGTTAATTCCAGAACAATAAAAAATTTAATTTCTTAAAATAACTAGAAGAAAGCAGGTGATAACCCAGAAGTCACATCGGCAAAGTTTGTTCTGTTTGATAAAATAATGCACTTTATCATTTTATCAGGCAAAAAAAAAAATGCACTAAACAGTCAGAGGACAAACAAACAAGTAAAAATGTGTGTGTAATACATTTTACAATGCTAATCCTAAATATGCAATATATTTGACAAAGTGCCAATCTAATAGAAAAAAACGGTATCTTTGTTTTAACTTTCAGTTCTTAATAATTAATGAAGTTGAGCTTCTTTCCATGTGTTTATTGGTCATTTATTTTTTTGAACTGTTCATAGGGACAAGGGAAGGAAAGGAACTAAGCCAGGATGTGGCCTCACCTGGAGTCCAATGTCAGCCTGATCTCACAGCTTGTACTGGACCATGTATTACACCAGAGTTAGTCCCATCTTGAGGCAAAGTGGGTTGCTCCTTTATACTCCATGGCAGTCAGTCACTGGTATGGGCTGAAGATGGCAGGTGGGTAAGCTTTCTGTTGAGATGGCTCCTGTTCACCTGAAGGCAGTTCTCTGAAACCTTTTTCAATTGTGGTCTCATTAGCAGCCAACACTCATTGCAGCTGGAAGAGGGGTGCCCTACTAAAGGGGATCCAGGCATGGCAGCAACAGCATATCTCAACTTGCTCTCAGCTCCAACCACTCAAAAACACTTGATATTTTCTGAACATGCCCAGCACATCCGTTATTCCAGGCCTTGCCTGGAATAAACTTTCTACCTTGTTCAGCTCTTTAAGACCTACTCAAACTCTGATGTAGCCTAAACCCTTTCTCTTCTATGAAAGTTCCCTGTCTCCTCAATTCAGAATGAATTAGCCCACTGTCTCCCATGGGACTTGCTTTGTACCTCTTTTGTAGCATTTATTTTGTATGCTTTTTAACGTAGTTGAATGTTCACGGTTTTTTTTCTCCAAAATCAAGGTGAACACCATTCATTTCATTCTGCTGTTTGTAAGAAATAATTAGAAGCATCTGCTTCCTCAAAAGTTTACAAGTGCCTTTGGTGTGACAACAGTCTTAGTCATCTTTTTTCATTCCTTTAGTATGTAGCATGAAACCCAATAAATGTTTGTTGAATCAAGTCGAATCAAGTATAATATCAAAAAACTAAAGAGCAACTTTTTTTCTATCTCACCCATCTGGCATGGAAATAAAGAGGCTGATTTCTGTTTGCTGGTTTTCTTTTTGTTCTATTCCTCTTTTCTTTTTTGTGAGACTCCTAACCCTTCAATATAACCATTTTATTTGCTCTGTCTGGATTCTTCTATGTACTAACAAATATCATAATTCAATTGACTACTCTCTTTTATAAGTCAATCTTTTACATCTTTTAATGGTGATAATTGAGAAATCAAAGGTTTTGCGCTCTGTTGTTAGAGTTTCGCCATCAATTTCCTTTATTATGTTGAGATCACTTGAACTCTCAGGAAACATGTGGTCCACAAAAGCATTCTCTTTTCGAGGACCACTTATATTAGGCATTTCACACTGGCTTTTGATATGGATACAAAACTTGAACTCTCCATGTAAGTAGACTCATTTATAAAAGAAATATTAATAATTGAACGCCATTATTTTCAACATGCTCATTCTATAGCAAGGGATTTGGAAATTCAGAGGTTATGATCAAGTTTCATATTTGCTTAAAATACTTTAATGGCTTTTTCAGGCTTGTAGGACAAACTACAAACCTCTCAATATGGTTCGAAGGCCCCCAATAACTAATATCACACAATATTACTTCAGTCATTGAACACTACCTGTATTCTGCCAAACTCAGTGTACTCTGTCGCCTCTCCCTGAGTCTTTAAAATATGGTTTCCAGTGTCTTGGAGACCATACCAGCACTCTCATACCATTGCCCAGTTAGCTCCTACTAATCCTCCAGGTTTTAGACTAGATAGGACTTCCTCTTCTCAATCTTCCCAGACACCCCTGTCTCATTTAGGTGCCGCCTTCTTTTTCAGATGTTTAAGTTACTCTACTTGTACTGACCATGCTGAATTGTAATGCCTGTTTCCTGGGCTGTAATTTGAAATCATTCCTCCCTTACGCAGCATTACCCATCCTCCTTACTCTGTTCTATCGTTGTTTTCACAGCACATATCACTTTCTAACAATTTACTCAATGTTCACTCCTGATCATGACAGAGTAACTGGTATAAAATCAGTACTACAAACATAAATGCCTATAAAACTGGGGAGACATGGGGGCATATATTTTCAGATATTAGACAACAGGCAGCACAGGGTTATGGTCCCTGAGAGAAGGGAAATTTCAAGGTGAGCGGCCCAATAGCCCTGCCTATCTGCCTAAAGCCACTTTGCAGACTGCACAGAGGGGAGGCGCAGCTCCAGTGGGGCATGACGGCCTTGCTGAACTGAGGAGAGAGGTTAGACTTCAGGGTGGCTGACGTGACTAGAGTTTGCAGGACAGAGTATTGGAAAGGAGAGAGTTGCACAGAGAAGGAGCTCAAGAAATATTCTCAGGAGTTCCCGTTAGTCATTCACTGAAGACCAAGCTGTGCGTGTGAGGACAAGACTCCACAAAGCCTGGAAGCAAACAAGTACCACAGAGCAATGAGCTGAACACAGACTCTAGAGTGGCGCAGGATTGGCAGTCACTGGAATTCCGATCAGCCAGTACCTTATAGGAAAATATCAAGCAGGCTAGTCAACCTGCAAATAGGATTGCAGAAAGAGGGGCAGAAAAAAATATATTTTTTTAAAAAAACAATATCTGAGAAAAAATACACAGTCACTGATCCAAAAATCTCAATGAACCCTAAGCAATATTTTCAAAAATAAGAAGAAACAAAGAAGAAAAACTACATCTAAGCACATTCTAATCCAATGTTAAAACCAATGCAAAAAGAAAGATCTAAAAGAAGCCAGGAGTAAAAAAAAAAAGACACATCCCAGGAGAACAATGGTACGAATCACCAGTGACTTCTCACCAGAAACAATGCAAGCCAGAAGAGGATGCCACAACATCTGGAAAATGCTGAAAGGAAAAGCTGTCACCCATGGATTACAGATCTAGCAAAAATATCCTTGAAAAATGAAAGCAGGCTAAAGATATTTCAAGGTGAACCAATGCTGAGGGAATTTACCACCATCAGATTTGCTCTACAAGAAATGTTAAAAGAAGATTTTCAGCATGTAGAAAAATGATACTGTGTGGAAACTCAGAAAGGACTAAAGAGCAGGGGAAGTAAAAAATAAGTGAGTAACTATAAAAGTGAGCTGAGGAGAAGGGCCCAACATGTGAAATTGGAGAGGAGTAAAGAAGTCATCCATTGCAAGAAAAGAAAGAAATGACTGATTCCAGAACTGAACTAGAGAAAATAATAGATGGACGTGGACATTTTGTTGTATCAGAAAGCAAGGAAATGGTCAAAGAAAGATGAGGACACATCAAAAGGATTCAGAAGCCAATTTGAAAGCCAGCAAAATAATTTTGAGCATCAAAATGAATGACAACCATTGAATATAACCTATTGATTAAAATGGAAACCATGAGTCCATAGCAATATAAATAAATGAATGCATAAATTCAAAGTTTATGAGAAACTGGATATTTGCTTAGTTCCAAAGTACACTCCCCCCAAAAATACTTATTAATTATGAAGGAGAAAAAAAGTAACTTTATATTAGCCTGGCAGACTCCTTCTTGATCGAGCAATCAATGCAAACATCATCAGTAGTGGGACAAATCGGAATTACATGCCACCTGCTATAACACAATAAGAAAAACACAGCATCACCTCTACAGCATTCCTGCCAAAGATGCATAATCTGAACCACATGAGAAAACATCATGAAAAACACTCTGAAGGACAATTCTACAAAATAACGGCCTTTAATCTTCAAAAATGTCAAGGTCAATGGAAACCCAGGAAAGACTGAAGAACTGTTCTAGACTGAAGAGACATAAAAACTAAAAGCAACAGGTAATACTGAAGTGGACCCTTTGCTCTATATAAAGGATGCTTTTGTGACAACTGGCAGAGCTTGATTGAGGTTTGGTGATTAGGTGGCAATGATAAATCAATGTTAATTTCCTGATTTTGATGGTATTGGTATTGTGAGTGTGGCGGATGTCCTGGTTTGTAGGAAATGTACACTAATGGAAAGTGTAATTGAACTAAATGCTCCAATCAAAAGACAGAGATTGAATTCAAGTTTATTGGGGTGACAATGGTTAGTAAAGTTACATAGGTTTCAGGTGTACAGTTCTGTAACACATCATCTATACATCACACTGTGTGCTCACCACCCAGAGTCAGTTCTCCTTCCATCACCATATACTTAACCCCATTTACCTTCATCTACTACCCCCCTCCCCCCTTACCATCTGGTAATCACTCAACTATTGTCTGTGTCTATGAGTTTTTGTTTCTTCATTTGTTTCTCTTGTTCCTTTGTTGTTTTCAGTTTTATATACCACATATCAGTGAAAAAAGAAAAAAAAAACAAAAAACAAAGATTGAGGAGCCTACTATCCACTGTGTACCAGAAACACACTTTAAATATAGAAAACTTCTTTAAATATTATGTTCATTGTTTGTCTTCCCCCCATGGAATGTAAATCCCACAAAAACAGGGATTTTGGTAATGTCCCCCTTTCTTTCTCAAGATCCTCAGAGCCTAGAACAGAGTTTGGTGTAGCCACTTTAAAAATGTTTGCTGAGTGAATAATTAAGTACCCCTTTAGATTGTAAGCTGGGGGACAAAGCCCATGTTTCCTGCATCACCATTTCCACATGGCCTGGCAGATAGAAAGCCCTCATTAAACATTGGTGGGATGAATAAAAGAATTAAGAGTTAAGTCATTTGCCTTGCCAGTATGGAATGAGGCTAAATTCCCATGGAATTTTTTGCTGTTATTTTATAAGAAATTAAAACAAGTGAAAAATTAAGTTAAGCCATTATCTATTAAAAATTGTATGGCCGTTGGACCGTAGAGACATACATTTACTGAGTTATCTATTATCTGCTCCCACCTCTACCAAAAAAAAAAAAGTGTGTGTGGGGGGGGGTGCTATAAATGGAAACATTTTAACAGGGTTTTTATTTCTACTGGAGTAGATATCCCAGGTATTGATTACCAGATGGTCATGATAATGGCCATGAAACTTCATTACCACTAAAAATGCTGGGCCCAGCAAAACCTTGCTTACACAGGTTTTGGGTTTCTTATAAGATATACTGATAACATGAATTAAAATATCTTAAGTATACCCTGCCCTGATTTTATTCTTGCCTGTACTTCCATGCATGAGAAAAAAAAAAACCACTTTCCCATTGCAATCCAATATAGTGTAAATAAATTTTCTTTTTGCATGGAAAAATGGAATTATTTTTTAAAACTAAAATAGAAGTAATCTCAATTTCTTAATTTTTTTTTTACTAGTTCTGTGTTTTGTGAGTACGAAATTAATATTCGGCTCAAAAGCTCCACATCCACACTCATATTTATTAACCCCTTCTAAACACTAATGTAATATTGTAGAGATTAACCTTTTTCATGTTTTAAATTCACTTATCACACACATACTGAAAAGTACACAGTAAATGTATGGCTCAATGAATTATCACAAAATGAACAATGAACACAGCTGTATAACTAGAAACCAGGTCAAGAAACAGAACATTATTAGCACCTCAAAAGACCACTATGCCTTCCTCTCGCCCCCCAAAATATTCCCTCTCCTGACCTCAACATGATAGATAAATTTTTGACTTTGTATTTTATGTAAATAGCATGATGCAGTATGCACATTTTTGATATCTGGCCTCTTTCACTTAACATTAAGTTTTTATAGAGATTAACTTTTTATCTTAAATTGAAATCATTATTGAATTTTGTGTGATAAAATGTAATCAAATATTGTTCTTGAATTCATTCTCTTTACAAATAGCATGAATTTCAGCAAAATAAAAGTTTACCACCCATTCCAATGTCGCTAAAATGGTTAGATATTGAGAACAAGAATAGCGAAATCAGATTTTATTAAAGGTAATAAAAGCATTCAAATTAATGCTCAGCTAAGTGATCTGCAATTTACTGCTGAGAGTTGGTTTCTGATAGTAAACCATTCTATACAAAAATTATTGCAGACATATCTAATGATACGTTTTCAAGGGTCTGTATACTTCATTGCACTCTGGTGTTAGATTTGAAGCAGGTCATTTGTAGAGAGAACTATGCATCTGTGTACAAGTATCACTCAAGTAACATATATACTCTATTGGTCCTTCCCTTTCATTAGGCTGTCACTGATACTATAGAGTTTTACAGATTACAGGTTTTGCCTAAAGCAACAGTCAGCTATCTTACCCAGTAATTGGATCGACAGATTTGGCTCAGCTCAGCAAGTCTGTGCTTCTGTATGCAAAAGAAGCCCTGAATTGAAATGCAGCAGCTCTGCCAGGTCAGGATAAACAGAGCTCTGTGGGGAAGTTTTAGAAAGTCTTGTTAAAGAACACTTTTGGTCCCATTTCGACAACCTTAACCAATTAAATGTCATAGTTTATGGATACGTAGGCATCATTATATATTAAAAATAATAATCCCAAACATTGACTTTGTTAAAAAAGGATTTCTAAACTCTAAATTTCAAAATGTTGGCTTCATTAAAAATGGATGTTTTCTAACCTTCTGCACCCAGGTACATCCAAAACTGAAGCTGATTTTCAGACCATGATATTTTTGTTTTCAGAGCATACATTGCTATAAAAGAGACATAAATTACATGGATGCTAGAAGCTGCTATTTCACTTCAAAAACTCTAAAATCTCAAGTGAATTTTTTCATAGCACACTTGATCTATAATAGAACTTAAATCTGAAGTAGTCTAGGTAATAAATTTAAGCTCAGTGTGGGTGAGCTTATGACACCATGAAAACCTCCCTTTTTCACTTCATAAATTTACTGCTGTATTGGCCCAAATATATGGCTCTATTAGGCCGCTTTAATTTTCAAAGGAGAGGAAAATTTCAAGTTTAAAAAAAAAAAAAACCCTCTGTCACATAAAACTTTCCATTTCTAGCCCCTAGGGCAGCTGAAGGAGTGAAAATGTGCTCTGATACCCTTTCCTTCCTTTGCTTTAGGTGGTTCCAGCTAATGTTACTGATACTCAAATTTAAATATAATTGCTACCTTAGCAGGCCAGCCAGGCTGTTACAAGTTGCATTCTGTTACTCTGCTGGCTCCGAAAAGGGGCTAGTGTCTCTCACAGAGTCAAGCATTGTTAGAAACAGAAAGCTTTTGAAAATGGAGATTTTAAAACAGATTTAAGGTGATTTAATCACCACTCTCCTCCAGTTCTTCCACAGGCCTCTCTCCCTGTCGCATCTCCAAAGGCGGGCTTGGCGAAGGAGGAAGAGGTGGCAATTCTTTGCAAAAGTGGTAGAGGTACTTGGAAGCTGTTGCCTCCAGTCGGCTTCCTCATCCATGCCATTTCTCTCACTTGGAGAAGAATCTTGACCCTCCAGCCAAACAGCATTTAAAGTGTGACTCCTGTCTTGGCATTTGCAGTTCATCTTCATGCAAGTGTTTTAAGGTCTCCAAGCCACAGTTTCATCATCTGTAAAATGGGAATGATTTTTCTTACCTCGTAAGGTTGCTGTGAGGATTAAGTGGAAAAAAATGTATACAAAACCCTCAGCACATTGAAAGCACTAATAAATATGAGCTAAATGACTAGACTATTTGGAACAGGATGGTGCTGTTGCTGTTTTTCCCCTTCCACCTACATGCAAAGGGTTACAAGCCTCTTATGGGGATGGAGAAGACACAGATGGGAGAAGCCAGGGTCTCACAATAACTGCATGAAGGAATAGAATCACCACCAAACCCCAGCCAAGAGCAACTTCCCTGGGCTGTCCTTTGTGCCTTGATTTATTTGGGGGTCTATTTGTTGCTGCAGCCTACCTTCACAAATGAAAACAGCTGATAGAGAGCGAGGATTCACATTTCAAATATCCTTGGTCTGGTGGGTCAGGAGTTCTCACTATAAAACATATGAGAAATTTTCAATTAATTAAAGGTCTTGCTTAGCCTTGCACCTTCACATCTCTGCATAGTTTCTCTCTTGAGCTGAATTTTCTTCCAATATTGTTTATGCTGCACAGCTCCCAGATATATGTGCTACCCTTCTGTCTCCTGGACCTAATTTTCCTTAACTCAGCCGAAACAGGGTGCCATTTTTCTATGCTTTATTGACATCCCAGGGAAAAATGAAGCCAAAATAAGGAGTATCATTTTCTAATCCTAAGAAGCCCAATAAAAGTGTGTATGAATTTTATTGGGCACCGAAGCCCTGCAGACACTGAACTTGGATTCTGTCCTGTTTGGTTCCTGGTCTTGGCTGGTGAGCACTATCTTGTTTTATCTTCCTGAAAGCAAGCTACCTAAATATGCAGTTCTGTTCAAAGACAAACACGAGCTTCCCATTTCCAGTGGAACACATTTCCGGGTTCAATCTTCGCCCTGCCTCAGCCTCACTCGTCTGAGCACCCAGGATCTATCTCCCCTTCAAAGGATAGACCTAGTTTAGCGCTCGTGTGAGAGTCAATAGTGATTAAATGCCTTGAGCCCCAATACATGACATAGCTATTCCTGGCTCCAATAACAAGTGTCACCCATTTTCTGAGGGGTTCTGTCCCTTAAGTCAGAGGTTGTTAATATCACAAATGTACAGTGTTAATGAGGTTGTGCCTCAGGAATGAGTCCATCTAACTAAGGGCGCTGGTAAAAGTGACCTCACGACATAGGTGAAGCACAACTACCCAAGCATCACCTAAAACTTTCAGGAATCCACAAAGGGGTCTACTATTTTTTTCTAGCTCCTTCATCAAAATTTCAGAACTTCTTAGCCAGAAAACAAAAACTGCCAGGAGTGCAACTCTTCAGTTTGAATACAGATTAATGAATAACCTAAAGAGATTCAACATTTAGCAATCCCAAGATTTAAATGAAATATAGGAACCTAATCCATGTAGTATTTCTGTAGTGTGTTATCAGTAACAATGCTAAATCAGGGTTGCTTTATCAGTATAACACTCTTGGAACAGAACCAACAAAATCTGAGTTTCGTTACCCAAAGCAAGTCCTCCTGTCTTTAGTCTTTTAGAAAACAGTCAAGATTTCCCAACTGCCATGTGTGCTAGATTCAAACCCAATGTGTACCTGTGTCAATGATTTGAAGGTATTAATAGCAGAGGGGACTCCATTAGCTATATCACCAGAAAGTACAAATTTGAAGGCAGGTTGAGATGCATTAAGTAACTAAGACTAATCTGAAATCAGACTTTAGTGTATTCCTAGTAATGGCAAACTAAGATCACACCCAGCTTTGCTAAAAAAAAAAAAAAGAGTAACTTTACAATATTCTAACAACATTTAGGAATGAAAACCTGAAACCTCATAACCAACAATATGTAGGAAGCCATTATCTGAGGTTTAAGCAACTGCATAGTGCTACTTTAATTATGCATTGCAGGCAAACTGTGATTGTGTCTTGCCAGTATTTTATTAGAATGTCAATTCAATTGACTTACATCCCATGGGAAAGATTAGCATGGATTTGAGTATGATGTGTGAAAGTGTTGCTGTGCCCAGGCCAGCTTTTTAAAAGTTGTGCGCTAATTAGAGTGAAAATGGAAAGAGCTGGTGTGAGATTCTCAAGTCCAAGAAACCCTGCTGCCATTCCTCTTTCCATTTCATGGTAATCCTCACTCTGCAAATGGTACAAACTGAACACAAAGCTTGCCAGACAGCACAGTGTACTTTGAGCATTATGAGAGGATAAAGGGGATTGAAGATGAGGAAATGTGTGTTCAGGCATCTACTCCTCAGCTTAAAGTGGGAAGGGAATTAAATATTAAACTTTACACCTCATGGAAATTTATTTGAATCAAATTTTTAAATCTTCCCCACCCCAAAAAAACTTAGAATAGCAGACTTTGAGATGTGGGGTCACAAATGAGAATACCCACACTTTACTGAAAAAACAGGCAGAAATTTGAGGTCACCTGACTAGCAAATTAGTGACAGAGAAAGGTCTCAGGTGTCCCAAAAGTTAGTCCAATACCCTTCTTTTATACTATTATTATAATAGTTTCTAGTTTCTAGACAATGTTCCAACACTTTCCAGTTTGTCTTTTTTTTTTTGAAACTTATAATTAAGGAGAAAATCTGAGTATATAATACAGGCCGATGATTACTTTCGTTGGCAGAGTAAAAATAGGAGCAAGTAAAGGAAATGGGTAAAAATAGAAGGAAGATGTATTGGTAATTTTTTCCCCCCAGTGCAAACAGTGCTTAGAGGTTACTAGTGTTTGAAAACTAGATGAGATAATCCTCGGAGAAAAAAGCCCGTGAGCTGCTTTTTCTGTGGCCCTCCAGCTCCTGCGGTCTCCTTTGTTTTTAGTCCTTGGTGTTTTCAGAAGTTAGTACTGGCTGCCCAGGTGAAAATTTAAATCACTTCAGAAAAACCCAAGGCAGGCTTCCCTCCTTTGTGATGACTGGAAAATTAAGTGGCCATCTGATGGTGCTTTCAAAATTCAAGTGCGGAGCCGAATCAGCTACCACCATCATGGACAATTCTGCCTTTGTGCTCTCCCCTCCCACTGACTCCACGAGAGGGGGAAATTTGGGGGGAAAGGGGAGCAGTGCGGTGGAGTTAGGCCAAGGGAGGGGAAACTTTTATGTTTCCACAAAGAAACGTGGGATGTCCTAGTGTTCCAGCCACTCACTCGGGCAACTTCCTCGGCAACTCCCTTGGGGCCCTCACCTCCCCACTCCTGACCCAGGACCTCAGCCCTCAGCCTGAGCAGAGATGAGGGTCCAACAGGAGGTGAGGGCCCTGCCTCTGAGGAGCCTGTAAGGCTGTCGTCGTTACGATGGGCGCCCCCTCCATCACTGGTCAGTGCAAAGGCCTGGTGACCAGGTAAATGGGGGTACAGGGGATAGGAGCTGCCAGCCAGCCGGCCCGGCTGCGCAGTTGTCAGGCCTGTGCAAAGTATCAAATCGCCTGCGCCCGTAATAGAGGCCACTCACGCGCAAGCAGCCGCTGGTTTTAAAGCCCAGTGGCATTAGAGCAAACCCTAGCGACTCGGAAAGTCTCCGCGTGACTGTCGCCGGCTCCTTCCTAAGACCCATCCCCCACTCCTGGACTCCCACCGCTTTCCTCCCCCCACCCCACCCGCCTTAGCACCCCTGGGGGCCAGAGCTCACCCGGCCGCCGCTCTCTCCCTGAGCTCCCGGGGTCCCCGGACCCCTCACCTCCCTAGATTCTGGGCTGGGGGAGGAGGAGCTGTCTCCTCCAATTCTTCCGGGCGCTGAGCTCTAGAGGTCCCCGTACCCTTCCTTCTCCGAGGCTCAGGATCTCAGGGGACCCCCACTCTTTCTCCCTGGCCTCGATTCTGACTCGCGAGGGAATCTCCTACCCTCCTGCCTCAGCAGGCGCCGGATTCTGGGGCCCCCATTCTCTCTCCACCCTGTCGCACCCTGCTCCTCTCCCTCCCCCTCGCTGTCCCCAGGGCTGCTGCCGGCGGCCCGCCCTTCCTCCGCCGCGGGGTCACTCGGGGACAGGCGCCACCCCCGCCCTCCCGCGGCTGGAGCCCAAACCTCCGGCGGCGGCCGCAGCGAAGCCAGTGTCACTGCCGAGCATTGAACTCCCGAGCGACACCGGAACCCTCCCCCGGCCCCTGGCCACGGGCGACAGCGGACCCGGGCGGCCGCGACCACCGCGAGGAGGTAGCGCTGTGAACCTCGCCGGCCGTGACGCAGGGGACTGAGGCGGAGGCGGAGGCAGACGGCCGGTGCCCGCGGACCGCTAGGGATGTCTTTAGGACGCGAGGACAGAGAATCCCGCGGGGCGTCCGGGATTTGCCCCGCGGGTGTTTCCTGCTCTAAAGCTCCCGGAGCCGGGTCCTTTGACCCCGCAGAGAGGGGCCAG